TTTTGTGCCAGTCCAATACTGTTTTGATTACTGTAGCTTTGTGGTACAGTCTGAAGTCAGAGAGCATGATACTTCTAGTTTTGTTCTTCTTTCTCAAGATTGCTTTGGCTATTCTGGGTCTTTTGTGATTCCCTGTAAATCTTAGGATTGTTCTAGTTCTGTGAAAATGTTATGGGTATTTTGATAGAGAGTACATTAAATTTGTAGACTGTTTTGGGTAGTATGGTCATTTTAACAGTATTAACTCTTCTAGTTCATGAACATGGGATATCTTTCCATTTATTAATATAATTTTTACCTTCCTTCATCAGTGTCTTATATTTTTCAGAGTACAGATCTTTCACCTCCTTAGTTAAGTTTATTGCTCAGTATTTTATTCTTTTTGATGTAATTTTGACTGGGATTGTTTTGTTGCTTTCTCTTTTTGATAGCTTATTATTACTGTATCTAGAAGCAACAGATTTCTGTTATGTTAATTTTGTATTCTGCAACTTTACCGAATTCATTGATGAGTTCTAGTAGTTTTCTAGTAGTGTCTTTAGGATTTTCTATGTATAGTATCATGTCATCTGCAAACAGTGACAGTTTTACTTCTTCTTTTCCAATTTGGATTCCTTTTATTCTTTTTTCTTGTCTGATTGCTGTGGCTAGGCCTTCCAATACTATATTAAATAGAAATGGTGAGAGTGGTCATCCTTGACTTGTTCCCAACATTAGAGGAAAAGCTTTCAGCTTTCACCATTGAGTATGATGTTAGCTTTGGTTTTGTTATGAATGGACTTTATGATGTTGAGATATGTTCCCTCTATACCAAATTTGTTGAGGTTATGGGTTTATCATGAATTATGTTGAATTTTGCCAAATGCTTTTTCTTTTTCTATTAAGGTGATCATGTGATTTTTATCCTTTGTTTCGTTAATGTGGTATATCACATTGATTAATTTATGGATATCAAAACATACTTGTATCCCTAGAATAAATTCTACTTCATCATAGTGTATGATCCATTTTGTATATTGTTGAATTCAGCTTGATAATATGTTGTTGAGGATTTCTGCATCTATATTAATCATGGATATAGCCTATAATTTTCTTTTTTCTTTTTGTAGTGTCTGTGTCTTGTTGTGGTATCAAGGTAATGGTGACCTCATAGAATGAATTTGATAGTGTTCTGTCCTCTCCAATTTTGGGGAGTAGTTTGAGAAGGATAGGTATTAGCTCTTCTTTATATGTTTGGTGTATTTCCCATGTGAAGCTATCTGCTCCAGACTTTTGTTTCTTGGGAATTTTTTGATTACTGATTCAATTTCAATACTAATAATCAGTCTGTTCAGATTATCTACTTCTTCCTGATTCAGTTTTGGAAGACTGTATGTTTCTAGGAATTGATCAATATCTTCTAGTATGTCCAATTTGTTGGTATGTACCTGTTTGTAGCTTTCTCTTATGATTGATTGTAACTCTGTGATGTTACTTGTAATTTCTCTTCTTTCATTTCTTATTTTGAGTCCTCTCTTTTTTCTTAATGAGTCTGGCTAAAGGCTTATCAACTTTGTTCATCTTTCCAAAGAAGCAGCTCTCGGTTTCATTGATCTTTTCTATTTTTTTGTCTCTATTTTATTTATGTCCTCTCTGATCTTTATTATTTCCTTCCTTTCACTGACTTTGAGCTTTGTATTTTCTTTTTTTTTTCTAATTTCTTTATGTGGTAGTTTAAGTTGTTTGAGATTTTTCTTGTTTCTTGAGGTATACCCATATCACTATAAATTTCCCTCTTAGAACTGCTTTGCTGCATCCCACAGATTTGGAAAGTTGTGTTTTTATTTTCATTTGCCATAAGATATTTTCTAATTTCTTCTTTGATTTCTTCATTGACCCACTGGCTTTTCAGTAGCATGTTGTTTAGTCTCTACGTGTATGTGTTTTTTCCATTTTTCTTCCAATAACTGATTTCTAGTTTCATGCAGTTGTGGTTGGAAAATTCGCTTGATATAATTTCTATCCTATTAAATTTGTTTAAACTTGCTTTGTAACCTAGCATGTGAGATATCCTACAGAAAGTTCCATATGCACTTGAAAAGAATATGTATTCTGCTATTTTTGAATGGAATGTCCTGTAGATATCTATTAAGTCCAACTAGTCTAATGTGTCATTTAAGGCCATTGTTTTCTTATTGATTTTATGTCTGGACGATCTGTCCACTGATGTAAGTGGGGTGTTAAAAGTCTCCTCCTATTATTGTACTGTTGTTAATTTCTCCCTTTATGTCTGCTAGTATTTGCTTTATATATTAAGATGCTCTTATATTAGGTGCACATATGTTTATAATAGTTATATACACTTCTTATTTTGATGCCTTTATCATTATATTATACCTTTCTTTGACTTTTGTTATAACTCTGTTTTAAAATCTACTTTGCCTGATATGAGTATTGCTACTCCAGGTTTCTGTTTACATTTGCATGGAATGTCTTTTTCCATTCCTGCACTTTCAGTCTGTGTCTTTATCTCTGAAGTAAGTCTCCTGTAGGCAGTATATAGATGGATCTTGTTTTTTATGCAATTAGCCGCCCTATATTTTTATCGGAGCATTTAGTCCATTGATATTTAAAATGATTATTGATAAGTATGTACTTATTAATATTTTGTCACTTGTTTTCTAGTTGTTTTTTGCAGTTCTTCTCTGTTCTCTTCTTCTTCTTTTAGTCTCTTCCTTCATGGTTTGATGATTTTCTTTAGCAGTATGCTTGTTTTCCTTTCTCTCTAGTTTTTGTGTAGCTATTGGAGGTTTTTGATTTGTGGTTACCATAGAATTTATACATGTTGACCTATTATAACTTATCTACTCATTTTAATCTTGTGGTCATTTAAATTCAAACACATTCTAAAAGCTCTACATTTTTTTTACTCCTCCCACCCAGTTTTGTATTTTTTGACGTTATATTTTACATCTTCATGCCTATCCCTTACCTATTTATTATAATTATAGGTTTTTTTTTTTACAGTTCATCTTTTGATCTTCATACTAGCTTATTTAAGTGGGTGATCCATAGCCTTACTATATATTTGCCTTTACCTTTTATCTTTCCTGTAATTTCTATTTCTTATTGTAGCCTTTTCTTTTTCAGTTAAGGAAGACCCTTTAACACTTTGTAAGGTCAGTTTAGTATTGATAAACTCTTTTAGTTCTTGCTTGTCTGAGAAGCTCTTTATCATTCCTTTAATTTCAAATGATAACCTTGCTTCAAGGAGTATCCTAGATTATAGGCTTTTCTCTTCAGCACTTTAAATATATTATGCCACTCACTTGGCCTGTGAAATTTCTGCAGAAAAAAATCACCTGATAACTTTATGGGAGTTCCTTTGTATATGACTCTTCTTCTCTTCCTGCCTTTAAAATTATCTCTTTAATTTTTGGCATTTTAATTATGGTAAGTCTTAGTGTGAGCCTTTTTCATTTCATCTTCTTTGGGATGCTTCCTGTACCTGGACATCTGTTTCTTTCTTCAGGTTCAGGACATTTTCAGCTATAATTTCATCAAATACATTTTCTACCCCCCCCCCCTTTTCTCTCTCTTTTCCTTGATGTATGCTTGATGTTGTCATAGAGGTCTCTTAAACTATCCATATTTTTTTTAATTTTTAATTTTTTTTGGTGAAGAGAGGTAATTAGGTTTATTTGTTTATTTATCTTTAGAGGAAGCACTGGCGATTGAACTCAGGACCTGATGCATGCTAAGCATGAGCTCTCCTGCTTGAGCTATACCCTCACCCCTCTTATTTTTTAAATTTGTTTTTCTTTTTGCTGTTTTAATTGGGCTGTTTCCATTATTCTATTTTCCAGATCACTTATGTGTTCTGTATCACTTAATATACTGTTAATTCCCTCTAGGGTTATTTTTCATTTCAGTATTGTATTCATCAGCTTTGACTGGTTCTTTTTTATATTTTCTAGTCTTTTGTTAAAATTCTCCCTCTGTTCATTTTTTTTTCTTTTAGTTTACATCAGGGTTTACTCTTGATGTTGTACATTCTATGGGTTTTGACAAATGCATATTGACATGTAGCCACTATAGTATCATACAGAATAATTTCATTGCCCTAAAAATCCCTTGTGCTCCATCTATTCATTTCTTCCTCCCTCTCCCCAAGCCCCTGGAAACCACAATCTTTTTATTGTATCTGTAGCTGTGCCTTTTCCAGAATGTCATTTGGTTGGAATCATACAGTTTGTAGCCTTTTCAGAGTGGCTTCTTTCAT